CCTGGGTGGGCGGGGCCGAGCAGGTGGCTCCCGGAGGGCGGGCTCAGAGCTTGGGGGCCGACCCCACGGCGGGACCCGGGAGTGAAGACGGAGCCCGGGACGGTTCCTCCCTGTCGACTCAAAAGCGTCTGCAGAATCGCGCAGACCGCGGCCTCTGCCCCAACCCCAGCGCAAGGCCCCAGCGACGCTGTGCCCATGACGCGGTGCCTGGTCTTCGGGACCCTTGGGAACCAGCGCAGCAGCGCTGCTCCTTTGCAAGTAAAAAGCACGCCATTACAACATTACAACAATAAATCCTCTATACCAGGTGGACTCCCAGCCCTCCGTCCTCCTGGCCACCCCTGCCTGGGACCACCGCGCACCTATGCCTGTCCGGGGCCCTGTTAGGGCAGGACTCGCACTCACCTCCTTCGGGCTCTGCTCAGAGTAACCTCAGATCAGAGCTCGCTCCCCGCTAACCCTGTCCACTTCTTCTACTTCAGGGACGATTTTATCTCCCGCGAACGCATTCTTCTTGCTAGAATGCAAACTCCACCAGAGCAGGTACCTTTGTTTAGGGCCTAGGGCATTGCCAGGCACAGAGTACGTGATCACAAACCTTGCGCATTGAATTTGCTACATTACACAGCTTTCCCCATGTTTTATTTTCGAGATTTCTGCAAATTCAAATTGTTAATGGAAAGTTCTGTATCAGAGTGACCTTGCTATCCTGACCTCAGTGTGCATAAAAAAGGGAATTTTTGGCAAGCAAAGGAAAAGAAAGATTCCAATTTAAACCACTCTTTGATTTCCAAGTTGTTTTCTGTCAGCAAAACACGTTTCTATTTTAATCTCAGGACACATCCATGCCAGTTCAGGCTGGGGACATCATCCTAGGCAAACAGCTTGGTGTCATCCATTTCAGATCCTTCTAATGAGGTCGAAAGATGTAGAAGTCAAAATATTTTTCCTGCAGAACATCAGATTTTGTGAGTGAGGTGCAGGCCTGGTTCCAGTCCCCGTTGGCAACCGCAGCTGTTTTCTGTTTACTGCTCTGCACTGGACTCACAAAAAGCTCTGCTAGAGATGAGGACTCAGGGAGGCTAAACTCCAGGTTAGAGAGCCCGGGGGCCGAGGTGCAAGGGTGCCTCCGGGTTGTGCATCTGAAGCAGAGGGCTATGCCCCTTCCCGTCCTCTCCCCCCACTATTTCCTTTGCCCGGACGAACCCCATTTATCGTCCTTCCGTACTTGGCAGGTCCCCACTCCCCACCCAGGAAGCCAGCTCTGACCCCGTGCTGAGCTGCAGCCTGTGCTGCAGGGGCCTCTCCGCCACTCTGGGTCCCAGAGACAGCGTCTCTCTGAAGGGCTTGGCTGCACATGTGCAGTCCCGGGGCACACACTGCCCGGCACAAGGCGTCCGCGCAGTGAGGTTAAGTAGACAGGAGTGGGTGGATTTGAGCTCTGCCTGGTGAACTTCAGCTTCATCCTTAAGTGGGGGCTGATTGTCAGTTTTTGTTGAATCATGGAATAAGAAAAACTCCTGGACTTCCAAGGTCAGACTGGATTATTATACTGTGGTCATGACCAGCAGGGATCATTCCAAGAAAGAGGCGGCATGCGGCCAGGAGTGGCGTCTTACTATCTTATTATTTTTCCTGGTGCCAGAGACCAAACCTAGGGCCAAACCCAGGGCCTCACACACGCTAAGCAATTGCTGTACCAGTGAACTACTGCAACCTCAACCCCACACACAATCTGTCTTAAGACAACAAGCGAGATCAAACGTCTTGCTTTTAGCAGTAACTATGCATGTGGTTTGACAGAATTTTCCATGCGAGGTCCCACCGTGTGATGCCATCTCATAAGTGGTCACCCCGATTTTCTCAGGCACAAATAGCAGTCAGTCACTGGTTATGGGCGGTATAAACAGAATAGAATCGACAAGCCTAACTTCAAACATTTGGAAATTAGCAGCTCATAACTTCTTAGATGTTTTTTCCCAATAAATATTCACCAGGAGCCTACGGGATATCCGCATTTCTAGGTGCTGGGACAAGCTAGGAAAAAGATGAAGTTCTGCCCTGAGAGTTTCTATTCTCGCAAGGAGCAAGCCGGTGATCTGCAGAGAGAGAAGTCTGTAAAGAGAGGTCTGAGACTGACTACAGCGACAGGAAGTGCTGAGGTGTGCATGGAGTGGCTTGGTCACCTCTGCACAGGTGACATTTAAGCCAGGACCTGACGGGGTGGGGCTGGGTGGGGTCCAGGCAGAGGGCAGAGCAAGTTACATTTTCTCTGTCAAGTAGGTGTCAGGCACAGATCATCGTGCAGTTGCTCCCCAGGACACAGGCAGGGTGGTGACAAGGACACAGGATCATGCTCCTGAGAAACTCTTAAGCAAAAGGTACCCACAGCTGCTGGTTCATGGCGATTTTGACTCCCAGCTGAGCAAGAATTCTGGAGACCCTGCTCTGGCAGTGGAGGAAATACTTGGATAGTCAGGGCCCCCTGCGTTGGGATTTCTACTTGGGTGTCCCCCCAAAGGCCCATGTGATGGAGGGTTAGGGATTGAGGGAGGCAGCTGCATTACAGGGGTTTATAGCTGGCTTGCTGTTGGGATGTGGGACCTGGTAGAAAGAGGTGCATCCCTGGAGCCTGACCTAGAAGACTGTCTCTGTCCCGGCTCTTCCCTTCTCCCGCTGCTTCCTGACCTCCATGAGGTGAGCAGCTGTCCTCTGTCAGACCCGGACTCCCGCCATGCCCTTCCTGCCTTGAAGGCAGCCAAGTGTGGACTGCAAACACAGTCGGAAAACTTCTCCTTTAAGTTGTGGGTGTCCGGTATTGTGTCTCTGTGACAGGAAAGTGACAAAGTCCCAGCTTCTTTAGGTGAGCCACTGTTAGTGCCTATTAGAGTGCAGTGTATGCCTCCTTGAGGGGTAAATTACTCACAGCCTTTCTCACTGGCATGAACAGAAAGGCCTGTGAGTTGCCTTAAGGAACAGAGACTGGCATTTTCTGGTCATCTGTGGTGACCAGATGTCCTTAAAAACCTCAACAAGCTCTGATCTGATTGCATCCAGTCAGTTCCTTATGCAGAAAATCGAGCTGAGTCCACTCTAGTCCTCACCCCAGCCAGTGTGTCCATGCCTAGCTCTCGACTCAGTGGAGGCCACTATGAGACAAGCTGGGGTCCCAGGGTCCTTTGGGAGGACAACACCCTTCCTCGGACCTTTGCCATGAAACACAAACCCCAGGTGTTTGTTCATGTGTGGGATGTAAAAGGAACTTTCTCAACTTTTTTTTTCTCATTGAGTTTATTGGTACATTTTAGGTATACGGTACAGTCACATTCTTCATTGGGATCTTGTACCTTACATGACAGATCTTGGTTCTCATTTTTCCCGTTGTCCCTGCCCTCCCTTCACCCGCTCCACCCTTCCCTATTTACAAAGTCTTTGTTTCCATTATTTCATTTTCTCATATT